TAGTCGTCTACCATTAATGTTACTTGAATTAGGCATCAAGTCACAATTAAAATCACCAATAAGAACAATATTTTTTCTCTTCAGCCAGATGCCAGTGAGCAATTCCCTAAATGTATCTAAGAACACAGTATCGTGAGGTGGTTTGTATAAACAGCCAATGAGAAAGGATTGCGATCGCATTGTGACATTTAACCATATAGCCTCAATGTTATGAGCATCCCATTTGTGCACAGGGTTAATTGTAAGGCATTCTTTGTAGTAGATAAGCACACCACCACCATGCCTGTCACGATCCTTCCTTGCCAGGTTGTAGTTGTTAATTGATATCCACTCATTTGAGACGTCCTCACTCAACTGAGTTTCAGTAATGCCAAGGATGTCGAAGTTAATATCACTTAGAATTAGTTGAATTTCACGAAATTTGCTAGCAACCAATTACAAAAACATCAGCCTACTTATTGACTACAATTTTTGCAGTTGATATCAATTCAAATGTACTTACCAAGCAAGCTATCAATTCATCCATGATACCAATAAGTTCTTTGGGAGTTAAGTCTTTGATTCTTACAAGATCAGCCTGGGTAAAAAAATTGAAACTTCTTTCAGTAGGGAATTAAACCACAGCTTTCTCCAGCAAAAGGTTTTTTTTTAATAAAAAAGTAATTTAGGGACTTAGCCCAAGTTTACTTATTATAGCATGTGCAGATCAGTACCAGTATGGTAGTATTATTTTAAAAATATTCTATATGTGAACAAGGGAGATAAAGTTGAAGTCTTCACCTATTCAAAAACTTTACTATGCAGAAGTATCTATCAAAATTAATACCAAGCCAGTTTGCAATGGACATAAACATATATTTGATAACTGGGATCCCAACACCCACCTTAACTGCTGGCTCAAACTGAAGAACTTTCTTAGCTTTGTTACATAACATTCCAGCATCCATTTTGGGTTCCATCATCTCAATTGCTGACATGGCTTCAAACAAGCCAAATCTTGCATTAGGAAAAAAATTGAAAGAAGTGGCTTTGTCAGACACTCTCCATTGAAAGGTACAATTTGATAAAATACTGATCATTGAAAATACTTGCAATTATAACAACTAGTATGTACTTACATGTTGTCATGTACAAGCTCACCCAGTTTCAATTCTAAAAGAAAAACAGAAAATAACAAGTTATCTCCTGTCCATTAGTTTGATCATAATCCATATTTTCAATAGCACTACATGCTAAAGGCCAATGACCCACATATATTAATTAAAAAGAAATGGCAGGTCTTTAATCTGCACCAATTATTCATAGTGTGTGCCTTGAGCATGTGGCTAGTTCAAATGCCACCACATCTTTGAAAACTTGGGCCCATTGCACCTCAATCAGCATCAAATTGAGACCAAAGTAGTTTAACACAACTATTCTAATCAAATAGTATTGAATATCATCTACAATTCCTTAATTAAAGTATGCTTAGCTTTAATAAAGCTTGTTAATAACTGACTGCAAAGAACACAATTTCTTGGTTAGATTACATTTAATAATGGAATGGTCTTACCAGACGCAGCCTCAGTAAAACTGTCTGTTATATCCTCCCAGTTGTACTGAGGTTCATTTGCACCTGCAGGCAACAGGAAATGAAAGGATTACAAAAAGAAAACAAAAAAACATATGTACTGCTCCAATACATCTATATTCTACGTTACAGTGGCAAATTTACCATTTCAACTTTGTTGATATATCCAAATTATTTTGTTACTCCCACCGACGCAGCCCCAAACAGTTTATATTCTAAACTAACAACCAAAAAGCAGTTCACATGCTTTTCACATTCCACAGTAATCAGGGCTCAACACTAACGATAGCCAACTAGCCACAGACTAGTAGGAATTCAGTTTTGGCTACTGGTTTTTGATCTCCACTAGCCAGTTTCGCTAGTAAACAAACTGAAAATGTAAGTTGTAACATTTAAGTTGCACTTGGTAATTGACTCATTATTACAAACCAACAAAATGACCACCTCCCAGTTGGATTGTTAGCTAAGTTGGTACAGCACTGCATCAATTTTGCATAAGTCATGAATTCAAATCCCATACAGCCCTGAATTTTTTTCAGGCCTTATACTTACTACTGCTCAAGAAGCGTTCATTACAACTGCAAAGATCACTTTCACATTCATTCCTAAAACTGCAGTTCACATATGTGATTTTTATATATTCACAGTCATTGAAACAAAAACTACACTAAAAATGTACATAATTTTGAGACATTTTTACTCTCATAAACCAAAGTCAATTTGCCTTAGACAAAAAAAAACAAAACCTGACTTTTGTGTAAGAACAGCTCAATGAAAAGTGCCTCACCCTAATATTGACTGCAAACTCTATTGCTAATAACAAAGGCTAAGTAAACTCCACTGACAGCAGTTTCCATAATTTTGGCTGATTTATGATAATTACTCATTAATTTATGCACAATAATGCATTAAGACAACAAATACGCAAAAAAATTCACTGACAACGTTAACTAGACTTTACCTGTCTAAATTGGAGAATTCTGGTCATATAAGTTTGCCTTTCTTATCAAAGAAGTATTAAGTTAAGCTTAAAGATTATTTGAAATTGAAGGTTATTTAACATGCATAGGTTAGCTCAATGTATAGAGCGCTG